AAGACCCCAAAGCTCAAGTCCCAGGAAAGGGCCACCTGGACAGAAGGGGCAGCGGCAACTCTTGCACTTAACAGCCGCTCGTGAGCTATGTCACCTTGGTCAACCCACTTTCCCTTTCTGAGCCTTGGCTTTCCCTTCTCTAGATGCGCCTCCTGCCCCGCATGCACATGAACCCCTGCACCCACGTTTACCCCGTTTCTGACTGTCCTCTCCTCGGTCCTAGGGTGTTTGGGATGTTCCGCCAAGCCAGTGACCGGGAGGCCGTCTACGCCTGCTTCACCTTCTCCCACTGGCTGGTCTATGCCAACAGCGCTGCCAACCCCATCATCTACAACTTCCTCAGTGGTGAGTGCGCCGGGGAGGTGGGGCCACCGAGACTGGCAGCGGTGCCTGGGACCACAGCCTGCCCACCCCGTCCGGGCTGAATAAAGGGACGGCGGGGGAGGATGGCCCCTGCTCCCTCCTGGGGATCGTCGTGAGCTTGCTCTGGGAACTCACATTTGGGGAAGACGCAGCCCTGTCCAGGAGCCCCGGTCTGATGGGAGACAGGCCTCACTCCCAACAGCGACAAGGAACCAGCTGTTCAGAGTATGCAGACCAGTGAGTGGGTAGGGAAGGCAGGGGCTAGGCTAGCTCACCTCCACCACCGCCTGCCGCCTACACAGCGGGCCCTCCAGTCGGCTCGTCTGGCCAACGCAGGCTCCAGAAGAAGCCTGGGAGGGTGACTGCATAACCGAGTCATCTGGGTAAGGGAGGTCACCAGGAGGCAGCCCAGGGCCGGGAGAGGGCTTGCAGCCAGAATATGGGGGCTGGCCCTGGATCCGCCTGCCCCCAAGAGCAGCCGTCTTGCCCCCTCTCTCTAAGTCCAGGCAGCCCCAGCCCCCCAGCCCCACCCCAGGCCACACCGGCCGCCCCCCCTCCCCCTAGACCTCCCAGCCTCGGGGTGGTAACACCTCCATCCTCAGACCCACCTGGGTCCAGCAGAAGAATGGCTCATGAGAATGGCTGTTCAAGCCTGGGCACAAAATAATCTTTGAGAAAAGGTTGAAAGGCTGAAGGAGGAGGGGCCAGGGGTCCGTATCACAACCCTCACTGAGGCTGAAGAAATATTCCCCGAGCTCAGAGGGGAGGACAGAAGAGATGAGGGCTGTGGCAGAGGCAGCAGCAGGCTTCTCACTGGGCATTCCTGTCTGGTCTGCACTAACTGAGCACCTACTGTGTGCCTGGCCCTCTGCTGGGGTCCCACAGAAGCATGGTCAAGGACGTTTCTGCTCCAGATACAATCTATTTCTCTGGTGTCCTTTGGCTGACCAAGGTGGCTGTGGCAGTCCCTCCTTCCCTGCTCATCGTCCCCTTGAAGTCAAGGGCTCTAGAATGAGAATCAGGTCTGAACTCTGGCTGGGTGACCTTGGGCAAGTCGCTGCACCTCTATGCAGCCCCCCTGTGAGGTGAGGATAAAGGCCGCCAAGCTCTCAGGGTGCTGGGACCAGCGGGGGGTGGGGGGTGGGGGGGACGAGGCAGGGGTGCCCTGTGCCATGCTTTGTGCGGGCTGCCGCTGGCCTCTCCATCGCTGCGGGGACAGGTAGTTTCGGAAAGCCTAGCCGCGGCTGGGGAGCCTGAGCCCCTCCACCTACTCGCCCAGGAGGACAGAGGTGGCCCCAGGCCCCTGAGCCAGACACCACGTTTTGAGCCCGGCTCAGAGCCAGAGCGCAGTCAAGGAATCAGATGAAAATTGCATTTCTCCTTGGGAACCGCTCCGGGGCCTCTGTCCTCACTCTCCCTGGCAGCGATGAAGTCCCAGCTCTGCTCTGCCCTCCCGCCCCCTCAAAGGCAGCTTGGCTGGAGCTGCGTGGGTGTCCCTGGGCCCAAGGCCCTTCCTGCTTCATCCAGCTCCTTATGGCTATGTCTTCTGTCTCCAACCAAGGCAAATTCCGGGAGCAGTTTAAGGCCGCCTTCTCCTGCTGCCTGCCTGGCTTGGGTCCCTGCGGCTCTCCAAAGGCCCCCAGCCCCCGCTCCTCTGCCAGCCACAAGTCCTTTTCCTTGCACAGCCGGTGCTCCGTCTCCAAAGTCCCTGAGCACGTGGTACTCACCAGTGTCACCACGGTGCTGCCCTGAGCGAGAACTGCCCTGGTGGCGGCAGTGGGTGCAAGCTGTTCCCTGCCTGAGCTGCTCTTCTGGCTCCTGGGGGACCTGCCTCTCCTCACAGAGACTACTGGATACAGGGAGAGGCTGGGGCTCCAGACCTGGTTTTCTGCCTGTTTAACTCTGGGCAAGTGGCTTCCCTTCTCTGGGCCCTGTCTCCTAAGCAGGATTGATGGGAGGATTAAGCATGCTCGAGAAAGCGGAAAGCTTCTTGTAGATTGTGAAGTGTTGTGGACAGGATTATCATATTCCTCTCCAGTGGCTGTGCCCCACGGTATCATCCATCCCCATCATCCTTCCACGGCTTGGCCTTCCTTCCAAAGATCCCCCCTCCCACGCAATTACAGGCCTTCCCTGGGGTCTGCTGTAAGGGGCCCGGTGGGCATTCCCATCTGGCCCAGCGGCTCCGGCCAAAGCCCACACGTCCTGAGGCCCGCGTGATTGAATCTGGGTCCAGCCTTTTCCCAGCAGGAACATAGCCCCATCCTCACCAGGCGCCGGGTGCCTGCACCATGCACTGGACTCCGTTGGCTTTCTGGTGTGATACAACACTCTCCGTGTGGCCGTTTGGCATGGAGGCCAGCAGCCTGAAGCAATTCTAATTAAAAGCCTGGCACTGAATGTTCCCTTTCCTTGTCATTGCACAAAACCTGTGCTGCTTAGGTGAGGAGAGGGAAGGTGGGGAAGCTTGGGGGAGGGGAGCAAATAGGCAGCACTGCTATTATCTGCAGACCACTGCCACCCCCCACCCCAGCACACTGGATCCCAGAGGGGTTCCTAGCCAGGATTCAGGGCACACGCGGTGCCACCTCCTCAGGCGGTGCCAACCCTCCAGTGCCCAGGACCTGGATCCTTGACACGTCTGTCGGCTTCTGGGCCCGGCGGCCTCTGGGAGGTAAGGAAGATGGGGGCGGGCGGGGGGGGTGCAGACAGCAGGGTTAACAGACTGATCTGTTACCTTCCCCTTCTTGGAAATCGGGCTTGCATTTACTTTCTCTGAACTCACAGGAGGAAAAGAGAAAGCCGCAGACGTGCTCCGTCTGCCACCACGGTGATTAGAGGGCTGCCAGAGGCCCCGATGCCCGTTGCCAGAGCAGGAAGCGGAGTGCAGTCTGGAGCACTGCTCTGCTGAGAGGGCAGGAGCACCGAGCAGGGGCCAGCTCGGCCGTGCGCACCACCAGCTCCACTTAACTTGATTAATGGGGCTTCGGGCTCCCTCTGACCTCACCTGTCAAAAACTGGGGCGAAGCCATGGTCCTGCCAGGGGCCCGGGCCGGGAATGCTGCAGCGCCCCTCCTCAAAGACATCACACTTTCCCAGGGCAGGTAGAAGGCATGGCCTAAGGATGTCGTCCACTCCCTGGATGACTCACCGGCCCGGCGCTTGTGGTCATTTCCACCGATGTGCGGTTATTGCCGGGCCACTGCCGGGCGGGACGGGCTGCCCTCTCCTTCCACGCTCCTCCTGCCCTTAGGATCCCAAGCTGCGTGCGAAGTGTCATGTAGCCAGGCTTGCAGGTGTAGTGCGCAGAGCGACATGTGAGGGCTGGCCCCTGAGATCAGAGCCAACTTCCCCACAGGGACCGAGCCATGGGGACGAACCCAGGCCTGAGGCTCCTCAGCCCCGGCCTAGCGCAAGGCTGACACGACAACTGACACCATTCTGGCGGCAGGTTTCCATAGGCACTTGGCTCAGTGGAAGCAAGGAAACAACAGAACCTTCCCCTCGTGGCCTCATTTCTACTCCACCCTGCTGGCTGAACGCAGTCCCATGGTGGGCCTGAGGCCTCCATTTTGGGGGGCCTCGGATGAACTGGAGAAAATTCAGAGGACCAGGACACCAAGGTGAGTGATGCTCAGGAAAGAGCTGAAGAACCCGGGACCGCCCAGCCCAGGGGACACGTGGTGGCAGGTTCCGGGTATCCAGAGGCTTGGCATGCAGAAAGGTGTGATACAGGTTCCGGGTGGCCCAAGAAAGAAAACCATAGTCAGTGGGTGGTGTTTTCAAGATGGCAGGATTTGGAATCCCAGCAGGAGGAAGTTTCTGCTAGTTGAAGAGGAAGCCGGTTTCCTGGAAGGGCACTAAGCTGCCGCTGGAGGATGGCAAGCAGAGGCTGGACTCACAACGTGGGGCACTGGGAGGATCTAGCCCTGGGTGGAGGCTGATCTTGGGAGCTGGATCCCATGAAAGGAATTCTAGCACACGGCAGCCCTGAGGACAACAGGCCTGAACTGGCCCTGGCCGAGCCCGGCATCCCCACCCGGCTCACTGAGCTGCTCCCCCCAGCCACCCAGCGCCAAGGACAAGAACTTTCTTATCTTTATCCCCCAAAGCAAAAGGATTATCACCCCCCAACAAACCAGAATGTCTGATGTCTTAGCTTTTGATTGAAATTCTGTCAGATCACTACAGACATTGGTGTAGACTGGTTATCACACTGATCTAAGGATCTAGCTGGCAAGTACAGATGTCTGCGCTTAATAAAAATGGGGGAGAAGTTATGACTTAATAAATGCAGTTTGTCTGGAAGATAAAACTAAGGCTTGGGATAATGAAAAGGCCATGCTGTGAAAAGTTTCGGGCGGCTGCGTGTAGCCAGTGGAGCCAGCCTTAAAACCGTTATAAAACACAGTCGGCTTCTTGAGGTGAACCTGGCCGGTCCCTACGCTTCAACTTCACCCTGGCAAACGGGACCAGCCCCAGGTGAGCCGTGTCCCCCCGAGACACTTCTTTCTGCATGGTGTGGTCTCCGGTACGGACTTCGATCCCCGCTGAATGAAGAAGAAACGAGTTGTTGGCCAGGTGCGCACACGCGTGTGCGAACCCATAGCCAGGAAGTGTGACGGAAAACGTGCAACTCCAGAGTTCTGGGCTTTTATTGAAGCTTACAGTTTCACCGGACTTTTGGCCCCGAAAGAAAAAAAAAAAAAAAAACACAGCTGAAAAAAAAACCCCGGCATTGGCGGTGGGAGGCGGCATCTGTCCCCTGGGGGTTGAAACCAAGCAAAGAACAGCAGGCGAGCAAGGGGTCTGCGCTGCAGCCGGGCCAAGGGCGCCCTGAGCACAGGCTGTGCCAGCCCGGAGCGGGGCCAGCAGCCGGGCAGCTGGTCACCACACGCGGACGCGTGGGTGTGGCGGGGGGGGGTGGAACCCAGGCCACTTGGTCCCGCGGGCAAACCTCTCCCATGCTCGGCCAGCTTCCACTCCGGAGGAACTGAGTTCATCTGACAGGACAGTACAGGGGGAGGGGACTTGGGTGCTAATGGCATGAGGCTGACAACACTTACCCCTGGTGTTAGGGTGCAGAAGCGGCAGCCTAGAGCCTGGAGCCCAGCAGACTGGGCGCTAACTCTGTCGCAATGACTGGCATCCCCTGCTCCTGGCACAAGGCTGGGCCACTGAAACGCACAGGGCTCTAAGGATGTTCAACGTCCAGCCCTCTCTTAGGCCACTACCCGTGTGGCCTTAGCCCAGGTCCCCACTGTCTGGTGACTGACACAAAACTCCCAGCCCTCTTCAGGAACAGTGCTGCCATCAGGCAAAGGAGAATCTTTTTCTAGGAGGGGCAGGAGAAGAGGAGAGGCCCGCCTGGCTCTCCCTCTCTGAGGAGCCAGGCAAGGTCTCGGCACACTCTGCTCTCTACAGACGGGCTGGGTCATAGCATCCGAGAAGCCGTCATGGTGACGAAGTCCTCGAAGCTGAGCCGGACGCTGCCCTGCACAGCTGTGTCCTTCTCCCGGAAAGCCTCGGTCAGCACCTGCAGCTGGGTGCACACCTGGATGAAGCGGTCGAGCTGCATGGCAGGGCTGGCGGAGCGCGGGCAATAGCGGGAGACCAGGAGCTGCGTGAACTGGGGGCTCAGGTTGTAGCCCATTTGGGCCAGAGCTGCGGAGGAGGGAGGGGCGCAGAGAGCGGACCCAAAAGTTACCGCGAGCACCGCCATCGACCAGGTCCGTGGAGCACCGCAGTGCAGGGGACTCGGAGAGGATGAGCACCAAATCGGAGAGAGGACAGAAGTCCCCAAGGTCTGTCCACTATGGTGGGAGCACACAAGGGGCTCTAGCTGGGCGCGGCCCTTGGCTGGGACGCTCCCATCTCCTTTCTCAGAATCTCCGGGACTGTGTGTTCAGTTGGGCCCGTGTGGTCCCAGAATGACACGGGACTAGCCGTGCTCTTCTGTGACTCGCATGCATTACAGAGGGATGCCTGTGCCCCCGGGATCACCCTTCGGAGGCAGCTCGACAGAGTAGACACGACAAAGGCCCGCTGCGGAGTTGAGACAGCCCTTCAGCAGGCTGCTTACCTTTGCTAATCCCCTGTTTTATCATCTCTAAAATGGGGATAATACTTACCTTGTAGGTTCTAGTAAGAATTAAAGGAGGTGATCCCGTAAAGCACTTGGCACAGTGCCTGACGCCTAACAACACTTTGTTGTTCATTAAAAATAATAACATCATCTTCACCTCCCCACTCGAGGCTGCTGGGCAGTTCCAAGGTCACAGCCTGCTTGCTGCTCTCTGTCCCTCCACCCGGGAGGCGTCCTTTATTCCTCTCTGTGTATCTACCAGCCCAGCCTGAAGGCTCCCCTTTTGTTATGTGGCCCTTAGGGAAACTGCCTAAACTAAGCCTCGGTTTTATCACCTATAAAAGGACAATAATGAGATCCCTCACCAAGAGTGGTGAACGATAAACAGTAGCTGTCTCACGGGCAGAATAAATGATGTGACATACCAGGCGTGCTTCTGACAGTGCCCTGCGCCCAGCCGGCATTCAATAAATACCAGTTTTGTTGTGGCAGGATCAGTACAGGCCAGCCCTTTATCCTTCAAGCAGGGCGCAGACACAGTGCGCTCATGCCCACCCAGGGCTCCTCAGTCTGACTGAGGTCCACGGCCAAGCAAGGAAGGGGCCAGGCTCTCAGGAAGCCCTCTCCCCTCCCAAAGGGCAGAGATCCCTGTCAGAGTCTCATCGCCCCGCTAACCACTCGCCTCACAGAGTCAGAAACGGAATTAGACCTGGAGCGATGGCCTCAGGTCATCCTACCCGAATGCAACTTGTAGCGTGGTCTGGGGCCCGGGATCGGGAAGGAAACTGCCTTCTGGCAGAGCTGGCAACAGAAACCACCTTCCTGGGTCCCTGCACAGGGCTCTTTCCATTCTGCATGCGAGAAACTAGAGAGGAAAGAGCCAGCCACGCAGGCCATGCATCCTGGTCCCAAAGTGCCCTGGGCTCCCTGCCAGCTGGGTCACTCTCACCTACCGCCACCAGGAGGCCCATCGCTGGGGAGTCTGACCCTGATTCCAGAACCGGGTGCTCCCTTGCCCTGGATCTCAGCTCAGTGCCCCAGCCCGATCGCAAAAGGATGGGGAGGAGACCCGCGCTGAGTTGTAGAGTGCAGCTGGACGTTTAGGAGTCAGAGGCTGGAGAAAACCTCCTTCCCGGCCTAGGGAGTAAATGGAAAAGTCCAGTTCTGCCTGCGCTGAGCCCCTGCCGCGGCCCTCACCTTGCTGCAGCTCGGCGTAGCTGATGGAGCCCGAGTGGTCCCGGTCGTACTGCTGGAAGAGGTTCTTCCACTGCTGGATGAACTTCCACAGGGCCGAGAATCCATAGACGTCGATGCGGCCTGACTTCGTCTTGTCGAACATGTCTTGATGGAAGGAAGAGAAAAGCTTCAAGACTGAGGGCCGAGGGTCCTCGGGTACAAGCCGGCCCGGAGCAGGAGCCTCCACGGAACCAGGGGCCTGAGGCCCAGGTGCTTGTACCTGAGACGTACTCTCACCGAGCGTTGACCAGCCTCTACCCTTGGCCCCCCTCGGCTCTAGCCCTTCCAGACCACGCATTCTCTGTACGCTTGGCAGCTGGCCCCGTCGGTGCCATCTGCTACCAGGGCAGGTGCCCCCACTCTGCAGAGCAGAAGACAGCATGTGACTCAGTGGGGCCTGGAGCTTGAGGAAAGACCTAGGGGAAGGCGCTCTCCGTCTGGAGGATCTCACCTTGAACCCAACTTCCTGCCTGAAATCCTCCCTGGCCAGAAGATATTTCCTCCACCTGGCATCCCGGCCCGAGCCCGCGGGGAAGGGCTAGGACTCACTTATCATCATGAGGCATGTCTCGTCGTTGAACGAGGACCAGTTGGAGTTGACCAGGGCCTGCTTCAGCTCCTTGATGGAGATGTAGCCGCTGTGGTCAGAGTCTACTGACTGGAACCAGGAATAAGCCTCGGGATCCACATTGGGGGGAACGCCACCTACGGGAAGGGGTGCAAACCCGAGGAGTCAGTCACAGGTCTCAAGGCCGCTGCGAAGAAATACTGGGGAGGGCCAGCCTCAGCGCCTCCCCAGTGATGGGCTTTCCTTCCCCACAAAGCCTCACAAGTCCAGTGACCCCCATCTCCCCTGAAGCCAGCAGCTTCACCCTGACGGAAGAGAACCTTCGGTGTAGACTCAATGAGTATGTGCAGCTGGCTTCCATTCTGAACCTGCTGGGCTCCTCCTACAGTGTTCCAGACACTTCTCTTTGATCTTAAGTTTCTGAGGAACCGGGACTTTCCGGCTGACTAAGACTTCTCTGCAAAGGATTATCTCCTCCCCACAGACTGGCAACCCCAAAACATTTGCTGAGCAGCTACGAAGCACAGACCAGAGACAAATATTTTGAGAGTCACAGCAGCAGGGGGCTCTCTGGTGCGGGGACCAGGCCTGACCCAGGTCTGAATTCCCCAACACAGCGACAGTTGACAGGGTCCACTGGGAGTCACCAGGGTTGGCGTGGCCACGAACTCCACCTCCCCGCGCTCCCCCTCACTGCCAATGGGAGGACCGGTCCCTGAAGCTCCCTGGAGACATCACGGACCCCTCCTCACCCCCACACACCCAGACAGCTGCCCGGTTCTGTGAGGTCCACACACAGGTGCCTCCTCCCCATTGCGGCGCACCTGCCCTGGTTCAGACACCTCTCAGGTGGAATCCTGCAATGCACCAAAACACCTAATGGAATCTTCCTTACGGCCACTGGCCGCCACCCTCCCCCTTCACAGTAATCTCTGAATTTAACTCAGTCCTAACCCATTACCCCTCGCCTCAACTCGAACCTCTTCCAAGGCTCCCCACCGCCTAGAAAATACAGTCCAGCACCCTGAACACAGCACGCCAGGCCCTCCCGCGACCCGGTCCGCTCCTGCCTGCCTCTCGCACTCGGCTCTCCCTCACAGCTCTGTTCCAGCCCAGGCGAAGCGTCTTCCTTGCTCTCAGCCACCCCTGCCCGTTCCCGCCGCAGAGGCTCTACTGCTCCCTGCCGCGGAACCCTCCTCCCTCCGCTCTTTGCATCCATCTCCCGTCTCCCTGCGAGACCCAGTGAAAATGCCGTTCCTTCCAAAAAGCTTCCCTATTTGCCACCTGCGGACGGGCTTCCTTCCCCTCTTCTTTGTACTCCTTCTTGCTCTCTTTAATTAATTTTTTTAAATTTTATTTATTTTGAGAGAGAGAGAGAGTGAGGGCACACACGAGTGGGAGAGGGGCAGAGAGAGAGGGAGACGGAGGATCCCAAGCAGGCTCCGCACCATCAGCACAGAGCCCGATGCGGAGCTCGAACTCGTGAGCCATGAGATCGTGACCTGAGCCAAAACCAAGAGTCAGACGCTTAACTGACTGAGCCCCCCAGGCGCCTCGGGATCAGGCTCGACGAAGCCCTGTTCCAGGGGGTCACAGCCACACTGGAAAAGTGGCAAAGGTGGCCACTTGAGAGGAAGCTGCAGCTCGGGGTCTGCGGCACATTTCTCCTCTCTCTCCCCGCAGCCCTAGAGACGGTCTCTGGCCTCAGGCCCTAAAGGGACAGGCCTCACAGAGAGGGACTCCTTTACCGGCAGTGACCTCACGTGGGCTCTCAGACCTAAGATTTTAAAAGGACGAGGAACTCCTCCATGAGGCTGCCGGGCTGAGAGCAAACAGCCAGAAGCTCTGAGCTCGGGCGACACAGAGGCTGCTGACTCAGTGTTTAGGACGCCCAAGGTGGGAGCACCTCCCTCAGGGCTGTCCCCAGGGGACCCGCAGCTGCGTCAGAGCAGTCCCAGGTGTCGCACTGCCGGCTCAGCCTCCTGGAGGTATGTGTCCCGTGAAGGGGCTGACGGACTGACTGACTTTGTGAGGAAACAGGGACCCAGGCACTCACCTTCCCTGGCCCCCATCTGCGGCCACTCAGACGTCTGCACTGAGCCTGAGGCCGCCCACCGGAGTCACCACTGACTCTTCAAGCCCCCCGCCCCGCAGTGTCCAATGCCTCACCTTCACTCTCTCTGCTCTCTACCCTCCCTGCACCACCCTCCTGCCTGCCTCAGCGCCTCTCCGGGCTAAGGCCCTCGTCACACGGGCTGTCCCATGACACGCTGGATGCCTCCTTGCTGACAATGTCCCCGAACGAGTCCTCTCACAGGATACTGGGTACTAAGCCCTTCCCACAGTGCCCAGCATTCGCCTGCACCTTCTCATCCAATCCTCATTAATAATCTTGTCGGGTAGTGGCACTCACCCCGTCTACACATGTGGACAGTAAGGCATAAACAGGTGAAGTAATCTGGTCAGGCCAGCACGTGTTCTGGTCTCGAGAGTGCAGACTTTCCACAACCACGCTCTCACACCTTTCTGCATCTAATGGCCAATCAGTAGCTTCTCCCCAGAGAACACCGCTGTTTGCTAACTCCCCCCCCCCCCACCCGTGAGTCCGCTGCCTGGTGGCTTGTGGAGCCCCTCCACGAGGGGAACAGCCGCTCCTGTCCTACTGAGGTCAGGCCTGAGCAAGGCGTGTGGCCTGGCCCAGAGACCATGGGAGGAGGAGACGTATAGGCCTTCAACGCAGAGGCTGTAAGAGGCACTGGGCGCTCTGCGGCCCTCCTGGTCCGTCCTGCCACATTCACAGCATAGCCCTGGGGCTGCTCCTTCCACCTGGATCCGGAAAGCGCACACACGCGTGGCAGCCAAATCGTCAGCTGCTGGCACGTAAGCAGGAGGGAGTGGGTGTGAGCGAGCGACGGGAACACACGTCTGTTGTCGTAAGCCAGGGCGATGCTGGAGTGGTCGCCTCCGCGGCAAGCTCACGGACACACTCTTCGCTCTGCTGACGCACGCGGGGGCCAGGAGGAGGCCGCAAGGGTGCCGGGGACCAGGCTGCCTGCACACCCACAGGAAGGGCAAGGGCGTGCCTTGGATAACCGAGAACAAGGTCAGAGGTACCTGGAGTCCCAGACCCCTACTCACCCGGAGGAGGTCCCTGTCCGTAAGGTCCCTGTCCGTAGGAATTCGGAGGTGGCTGACCGTAGGGACCCCCTGGGGCCGCACCGCCATACAGTCCTCCTGGAGTTCCAGATGGGAGCCCCCCGGGACTGGGGTGCCCATAGGGTCCTCCAGCGGCTGGTGGTCCGTAAGGCCCCCCGGGGGCAGGCCCCCCTCCGTAACTGCCACCGGGGGGTAGCCCCCTGCCATACTGCCCTCCAGCATGGGGGGGTCCAGGGCAGTAGCTCCCCGGGGGGGCCCCGGGCGCCTGTCCAGCTCCTGGGCAGCCCTGCGAGAAGAGCAAAACACCAGTCAGAGCGGGGCCGGAAGCCAGCCACAGAAGGGCACTGCTACGGGGCGCGGCCACCGGCCCCTTTCGGCTGCGCCCCTAGGCATGGCGGGGATTATGACCTCATTGCTCAGGTGGGCAACCTGGGGCTTCCAGAGAAGATGAAACGTGCCCAGGACCCTACTGCCCACGACCTGTGGTGGTCGGGGCCTGCGCTCCTGGCTGCCCTGCCGACTGCGCCCCGGGGCTCCACGAGGACTGGGAGCATGTCGGGTTTGCCGCTCTATCCCCGGCCCCCAGCGCCGCACGGAGGCTCGGCAAACACCGACTGAACAAGTGAGGCGGTGGGTGAAGCAAAATCCCCAGGCCTCACCCTGTGCTGCCTCCCGGTGCAGACGCGATCTCCACCCACACCCCGGCCCTCTTCAACCAGAGGCGCTGTTTCTGTGGCACAGGCTCCTCTGCGGCACGACTGCCTGACCCTAGGACGGCCTGACCTACAAAAGCACCTCCCCACCTCACTCACGACTCCGGGAGCAGGCAGGGGAGGCCCCGCTCCTCAGGGGCTATGGCACAACTGGGAAGGGAAAAAAAAAAGGCCAGTTTGAGTTCAGGCTCTGCCATTTACGAATGGACTAGTGACTTACCCTCTCTAAGCCTCCAAATCCTTTGCTCTAAATGGGAATAAAAATAGTGCCTACCTCCCCGGTTGGTATGTGAAGGCAATGACCCCGATCTCGTGAAGTGTCTGACACAGGTCTTAGCACTCAATACACATTAACTGTTAATCACAGCACCTGCTACGCAGGAGGAAACTCAAGTCCAGAAAAATCACACACAGACGTATGGAGGGGCTGGGACCAGGACCCAGGTTTCCTGGCTGTTGAGCCCGGGCCACCTGTATGTCAGCGCACACAAGGGGTATTCCCTCCCTTGTCCACGTCTCCACACCACTAGCCAGAGACCCGCAAACTCTGAGTGTTCAGCCGCACCCCAACACATCTGCAGACAGGCCGGGCTCAAAGGCATATGGAGTAGCTGGGCCTGGCTCTGAGGAGAGTAACCAACTGGACATGTTCTAGAAGAACCTAGAAAGCACACCAGTGGCCTAGCTGCCGAGAGCCCAGACTTTCTCTTTTTGCTGTGTTTGGTAGCTTCTGGGACACCTTCCCTCAAGGCTAAGGCCAAACTCACACTTCATCTAAAGGAAGTCTGCTTGCACAAGGAAGGGAGGCTTCTTGAGGGAGGGCAGGAAGAGGTCCCCACCTTCTCCACTCAGCAGGGTGGGGGCTCTCAAGCCCTGGAAGCTTCCAGAGCTGGCAGCAAGACTCCTTCATGGTGAGGTCACAGACCCAGCTCAGTTCCAAACTCTGCCCTCACCAGCTGAGCTCTCACCGTGGGCCCCTGGCTTAACCTCCCTGTGCCCATTTCCTCACAGGTAAAACAATCCTCTCTCCCTCACTGGAAGGTTCTGCTGATCACAAGAAATAAATGCAGCAGAATTTCGTCAGTTTAACTTTTAGCTAAAGACTCTTCTGAGACAATACAATTTTAAAAACTGATAAAAGAAAGGCGCTTTGGACGCAAGGTGGGGGTTCCAGAGCCCCGACCGTACTGGGCCCCCTCCCTTATCAGATCCTGAGGGTGCTCTGGACAAGCCTTAGAGTGACTCAACAGGCAGTATGAAAACCACTAACGTGGGGCGCCAGGGTGGCTCAGTCGGCGGAGTGTCCAGCTTCTGCTCAGGTCACCATCTTGCGGTTTGTGGGTTCGAGCCCCGCATCAGCCTCTGTGCTGACAGCTCAGAGCCTGGAGCCTGCCTCGGATTCTGTGTCTCCCTCTCTCTCTGTCCCTCCCCACTCTCACTGTCTCCTTCTCTCTCTCTCTCTCAAAAATAAACATTAAAAAAGAAAGAAAAGAAAACCATCAATGTAAGAAAAAAGTTCTCACAACAGTGGCTGGCAAAAGCAAGATGATCTATAAATCTTGGGCGTTGTTATTATTATATTAACTATCATCAACAAAGCCCCGGGCCAGATAAATTCTTGGGGAAGGGGGTGTATAAAGGAGCAAGACAGTCTGAAAGAGCAGTTAACTGAATAGTTAACTGAAGAGGACTGGAAACACACTCCGTAACATCTAACAAAACAGCACGAGGAAACGTGTCCCGCGGACGGATGCGCAAGCCATGTGTCATGGGACCAGAAAGGCAGGAGGCCAAGATCTAGGGAGTTTCCAGGAGAAAGCAGCATCTGAGCTGGGACAAAGAGAAGAGGGTCGGAGCAGTGCGACGGAAGGGGCGCCAGGAGGTGGTCATCTAACCTAACCCCTTCAGGTGACAGATGGGGTGACCAAGGAGAGGGGACCAGAACTGTTCAAATCACAGCCAAGGCAGAGGTGGAGCGGAGGCGGACCACTCCCTACCACACCCATGCCCAGTGACTCCCAATGCCTCCTGCTACAGTGCTCTTTTCTTAAACAATAGGGCACAGGATTCCAGCACGGGGCAGGGACCCTGCAGAGTCTGGGCACACCCAAAGAACAGGCCAGACATCAAGGCAGAAGTAGCAGCTTCACAACCATCCCTGGGAGCAAAGTCATAAACTGGACCTGGCCTGGGGCACCTGAGGCACAGCCCCTCCCCCCACCTCCCCCCGGGGGAAATGCCCCCAGACTGACAAAGCAGAGACCGCCAGGCAGGCAGGTCATCTGACCTTACAGCTGTCACATTTCAGGGGCCTGCTGGGTCTGGTAGCAGCTAAACCTCTTCTGGTCTGCGCTGCGTTAGAGCCCTCACCTGCAGTTTACAGAGCACTTTCACACACATACGCGCACGCGCGCAGGCCACAGTGATTCTGACAGTTTGATCCGTGCCGTCAGAAAAGTCTACATAACTGTTATCAAGGAGACATACACAAAGTAATTTGTTCCGTTCACTGAATTATGGATGAGCAATCAAATGAAGAAATGCATGAAGTGGGTCAGGGAAGGCTTCCTGGAGGAGGCGGGAATGATACGGGAGGCTGCCCTGAAGGAGGCATACACATTCCCCAAAAGGAAAGCAGGAAAAAGGACATTCCAAACAGGAGGGAGAAGACAGACGAACGCACAGGACCTAGGAGCGAGCAGAGAGGTGGGGGAATGGCCCGAAACGCAAGGGCGGGGACAAGAAGGCAAGGTGGATTCAGAAAGGCCGGCTCTTTACACACTCCTTGACCAAGCTCCCCTCCTGCTGCCTTTCAGTTAGCTGGTGACTTACTGGTGTCTTAAAGTATTTCCTGTCTGTCTCTGTCTCCTCCATGCAACAGTGGGCTCCCCACGGCCAGACACGGGGCCTCATTCATCGCGGTACCCAGCGTCCAGCACAGTGCCCGGCACCTGCAAGCCTCCATAAATATTTGAACAGATGAATCCCACTCTGAAGAGCTTGGGCTTTATGCCTGAGGGAACAGAGCGCCATAGAAGGGTTTCCAGTGGAGGAGGGATGTGATCGGAGCCTTGTGCAGAGAATTAACCAGCAGCCGGGTGGAGGGGGAGCTAGCGGGGGCGGCAGCAGTCCAGGTGCTCGGCAGGCAGGCCTTGAACCAGACAGTGGACTTAGACGCAGAGCGAGCAGGATGGATTCTGAAGCTATTTCAGAGATAGGCTAGACATGACTTGACGACTAATTTGATTAGGGAAGAGATGCAGGGGGAAGGAAAGGGAAGTGTTTAGAATGACTCAGGCTTCCCACGAAGGCAGTGGGGCTGCCGACTGAGGCAGGATCTAGGCTGCAGAGGAAGTTTGGGGAAGATGGTGTCCAGGGTCACGGAGCTGTGAGTGAAGGACTGAACCAGTCGAGAAAACCGGAGTCCCTGACTCCCTGTCCTGTTATGCCACTCCACGCTGCCAACCCTTTTGAGGCTTTTTCTGAGAGCATTTCATGCTGATCAACACAAGACTGTCAAAGAAAGAAGGAAAAAGACAGGAATAGTCCCTCAACCACAGTTCCCGAAGCAACACAGAAAACCATCCCCAGGTCTTAAGTGAATGCAGATAAACTACATTTGATACACTGGGGCGGGGGAGGGGACAGTTCACATCCTACGGAGGCTCTGCTAGGTGCTTCCAGTTCAAGTGACCCTCACTGCGCCTCAGTCCTGTGAGGGAAGTGCTGCTGCTCCCATTTTACAGATGAGAAAATTACGGTATAGAGTTTACTAATGTGCCTGTCATGAACAACCAGAACAGAGGAGTTGGGGTTCAAAGCAGGGCCTCTACTCTACCCCCCTCTGCTGTGTTCACTCAGTTGTGACTGAACAGGAACTGTCCTCGATGTAACTGTCAAATATGAGGGATTTATTTCTACAGTGGACAGGGCTGAAGGGGGAAGGTGGATGGGGTGATCTTTCAGATGCTTCAAGCCTGGGAAATCAGGAGGACTCAGAAGAATCTTACTCCTCTTTCAGGCCAGCGCCCAGACCTGATTTGAGAAGCACAGGACTGTAAGAGACGCCCAGAGGCCCTCCAGCCCAGCCTCTTAGCAGGGGACGGAATCTTGGAAGCACCATCTTGAATCTCTGTTTGCGTTCATGCAAGTGGTAGGGAGCTCACCTCCCAATCCCCCCCCCATAACCTACTCAAGAAGCTCTGTGTTTTCTTTGGCTCTGAGCATTCATTCTGCTACCCCAAGCCCCTCGTAGAGTTCAGAGAACTCAAAGGTTGGTCCATGCTAAGCCCTGATGGGGAAGGGAGCAGGCTGCCTTGCAAAAAGAGGCCTGCGCTCAAGTGTCGGCTGGAGGAGGCTAAAGCCCGTTCCAAGGGGTTAAACAATCAAGAAGACGGCAGCGGTTTGGGCATTCACCAGCAGAGCCTCCTAAAATATTTAAAGGCCAGAAACCTGCAGCCAATAAACACTAGGCCAAGAACTATCCCTGGACTTCAATTACCGCCTTGGTGCGGACGCTCCAAAATCGTCGGTCCGGCTTCGTCTCTCCTGAGCTGCAGACCCACATATCCGACCACCTCCTAGATCTTCTCTCCAAATTGATCCCTCCCTCTATGTCCCCATCTCAGCAAATGGGACCTCCCACCCAGTCACTTAAACCCGAAACCTCAAACCCTAGTGCTCTCCCGGGCACCTCCTCTTTCCTCCCCTCCATCACCCCAATGAGGCACCAAGTTTTCTCAATTCTACCTCCCGAATGCTTCTCAAATCCACTGTCACCAGGTCGCTGTCCTCTCTAACCAAGGTTGCTTTAACAGCTCTGAAACCAGCCTCCCTGCCTCGGGTCTCTCCTGCTTCGGTCCGCCGTCCCAGTGCCCCGTGGTGTCAGCTCCAAAGCACAAAGGAGAGCAGACTCTTCGGTGGCCCCCCTGGTCAGTCAGGACCAAGTCAGCACTCCCTCGACAGGCATACAAAGCCCTTTAAGGTCTGGTCCTGGCTTACCTTTCTGGTCTCGTTTCTTAGCCCTTCCCTCCTCTGTACTACATATTCATCTCCTGAAATTCCTCCAAAATACTGGGCTCTCGTTTCCTGACCTTTGTGCTCACGAGTCCCTCTGCTTTCTACACTTGGCTGACGCCTCTTGGTGATTCAGCCTTTGGCTTAAATGTCACCTCCTCTAAGAGTTCCTCACCCTCAGACTTAGGTATCCCTGCTAGCCCGGTACCTTACACTTCCTCCCATTTAACTTACCGCACGGATTCTACAATGTATCTATCTGTATCGCTCCTTCCTCGGAATATTTACTCTGTGCCAAACCCCTGGCCAAGTGCTTCACACGGATCACCTCCTTAAACTTTACAGTAACTCCTGATGTAGGTTCTCTTGTGATCCCATTTTAAAGAAGGGGAAACCGAGTCTTGGACTTTTGCAAGAAATTTCTGCAAGGAAATGGCAGAGCAGGGGTGTGCAACCAAATCTCTCGGCCTCAGAGACTGAAACCCATCAAGCTGCCCCCTCCCACCCAGGACCAAAGGTTGCTTGAGTTTTAGGAGTCTGACACCCAGGCCATGCTTGAGGACCCCGCGGCTGGCGGCAGTGGAAAATGAAGAGGAGTTCTGACTCCCAACAACAGGATGTAGTTGCTGGGTGCGTTATGCGTTTACTGGGGGAAGCGAGGGTGATGCTAAGCCCGTGGATGCTCTGAAACAATCAGGTGTTTTCTTGTTAATACTTCGGACCAGGAGCTGGACAGGCAGAAAAGGGTATGACGAGGGGATAAAAGCATTTCTTCTTCTGTTCTAGACACATTTCTCAGGGCGCCTGGGTGGCTCAGTCGGTTGGGCATCTGACTTCAGCTCAGGTCATGATCTCACGGTTCATGGGCTCGAGCCCCACATCAGGCTCTGCGCTGACAGCTATCTCAGAGCCTGGAGCCTGCTTCGGATTCTGTTGTCTCCCTCTCTCTCTGACCCTTCCCTGCTCACGGTCACTCTCTCTCTCTCTCTCTCTCTCAGAAATAGATAAAGCATTAAAAAAAAACACACAAAAAACTAGACACCTTTCTCTTCATGCTCCTTTTCAGTGTCTCACTCTGAGCATAAGCCCAGGCAGCAGCATGGTAACAGCAAGTGCAGCAGCGAGAGCCACCACCAGGCACTGGCCCACACTTGGTATAAGCGATGTTACCAAGGTCCCCGCAGGCTTTTTCCTATTTTGTCTTGATTTCAGCCCTTCATAGGCAGAATCCTCCCTCTTATTATGCCTCACTTTCTAAAGGTGAGGAAATTGAGGCTCAGAGCCCTTAGAGTGTTTGTCCAAAGGCATCTAACTACTAAGAGCTAGAATTAGGATTTTAGCCCGAAAGTCGCTATCCTGGAAGTTCAGGCTCTTCATTTCTACGTCATTGCCTCTAGGATGCATACAAATGAACTCCAGATTCCCGGGCCCTTCCTGGGCACAGAACAGGTTTGAGGGAGAACCTGAAAGTGTGCTTTTTAAACAAGCTCCTAGGGGATTCTGACACAAACCATCCATCGAGAAACGGGGCACATGGCAAAGTTTTCTCAAACTGTGTTCCTCCAGAATACTAGTGTTCCCCCAAAATGACCAGACATTGAAAAAGGAGGGAGAGTGGGGGTGGCAGGGAGCTCCATGGTTAAATAAATTTAAGAAATACTGCATATTCCATCCCTCTGTGGAAGTTTACAAGGCATACTGTCCAATTAAGAACTCAGAGACACCCCATGCTGAACGAACTTATTTGGCTGTTTTTAACGGAATTATTTCCCAAACTTCCCTAACCACAGACTCTTCCTCTATTACCAATATCTATTAACATTTCATAAGATCCAACAAACGGAATGGAGCTTCCGGAAGCCCAGCTAGGTTATACTTCCTCCTAACCTCAGCTCCATGCCTCTTTTTTTTTTCCTACCTCTGCTTAATATGCAATTAACAGAGTTCTAAGTTCTAGCCCTCACTTGCTACATGTGACCTTGAGTAAGCCACTTAACTTCTTCGAGCTCCTTCCTCAGCTATATTTGGGGATAATAACCTCTGCTAGCATGCCTACTGGACCTTCATCACCAAGATAATAAAGGTCCCAAATACTGTGTACAAAGGCCGTACTGTGTTGCAATTCTTCACCACTCTTTTGGCAAGTGACGATACTCAGTTGAGTGCTTTCTAACATCCCATTTGTTTTCCAGTTTCCCCTGCATTACTTATGACCGTAGGCAACTCAGAAGCCCTCCCTGGGCTTCAGTTTCTTAAAATGAAGGTATTTTGAGGAATCCCCCCCCCCCCGCCCCCAACACTGGCCTTCTGTGAGTTTAGAAAGAAATCAAAATACTGTTACACTTTGAGAAGTACTCAATGCCTTACAAGCATGACTTCATAACAGCTCTATGAAGTAGACCCTATTATCGGGGCCTATTGTACGAAGGGGGAAACAGGCTCACAAAGGCAAAATCCCCTTGCCTAGCTGCTCAAAACTATTTATGTAAGTGATGGAGCCAAGGGGTGAGCTGAGCGCTGCTCTGACTCTAAGCTGAACTTAGCCACTCTACCAATCTGTCATCCAACAAAGGATCCTGGCCACAGAACCACCTCGCTGTGATGTTCTTGGCCGGATGAAAATGGGCCGGAAGTGGGAAAGGGCATGTTCTGGGTTCTGCTGCCTGCCTAGAGGCTTCAGATGAGTTCTGTGTCTTCTCTGAGGTTCACTTCTCCCACGCGTGAAACGGAAGCGTTAGACTAGGTAAATAGGTCACTCGTGGCCCCTGCGAAAAACCAGATTCTCCTGCCCGATTCTTGGCACGCAGTATGTCAGGGCGTGCTTTTATCCGACGCCCCAAACGAGCCCGGCGAAACCAGCGCTCTAAATGATCTGCGGGCGTTGGCGAGGCCGCAGGGAGCCCCCGCGGGAGTCCCGAGAAGGTGTGGGGCCCGGGCAGAGCCCAGCCTGGTTCCGCGGGGTCCAAGGTCCCCAAATCCTCGCCGATGCGACGTCAGAGGGGGCGCGACGCGACCTCCCAGACCTGTAGTCCTGCGTGACGTGAGACGGGCGCGACCGACCCGCCCTTTGGCCTTCTCTCCCGCGCGAGACCTCAGGGTGGGAAGGGCGCGGAGGGAGCCGGGAGAAAGCAAAGCAGGGCCGGGGCCTGGATTCCACAAGGCCCCTCCTGGAATCTCCCTTTCCCCCTCCTCCCTCCCCACACTCACCTGCCCGTACGGGTAGCTGGCCATGGCGACTCGACGTCACACCCCGGCGGCGGGCGGGGCTTCCCCGTCCTAAACCTGCCGCCTGGGCCTGGGGGCGGGCCCGCTTCTGATTGGTTTTCCTTGGCTGTCAATCCAGGGCGCACAGGTCGGCGGAAGTGACGCGTAGGGCGGCGGTCGGGTGCCTCAGGGAGAGGCCTGAGTGGCTAAGGCTTGGGTGGCAGTTTCCGGAAATCTTGTTCGCTGTATTCGCGGTGCTGTTGCTCCCTTTCCTGACCTAGCGTAGGCCCCGCGGCGGCCCAGGCCCGGGCATTTGGTGAGAACCTCGGGTCGGCTGTCGCAGTGGTGGCCATGTTTCAACCGGGCAAAGGGGACGCGTTGATAGCGGAGTAGTTGCAGTCGTCAGTCACCCTAAGTTTCCGCCCGCCGGAGGAGGGCTCAGGCGGTTGCCGTGACAACCGGAAACAGACCCAGGCCTCCTGGAAGGGATGGAGGCAACAGCAAAGTATTTTGCTCCGCCGTCAGGGCTCCGCGTGCCAGTTAGTAGCTTTGGAGTGGCATCTGTGGGCTTTGGAGAGGAAAATTCCACGCCGTCAGAGGAGGAAAATTAGATCACATTAGATCACATAGGCCCTCTTCTTGCATAAAATGGGGATACTGAGGCCCAGAGAGACAGTGACTCGCCCTAGTTCACAGTAGGTTGGGGCAGACGTGGCCTAGAGCTGGTGTCAGTGGATGCCCAGTTCTCAGCAGGGGAGTCTTGACGGGTCCACAGAGTCAAATCCTGGTTACTAAGAGACCGCATATAGTAGTACTTACTTGGTCTTGTTGCTTCAGGCTCTACTTGTCTGCAGGCTTATTGGACTAATTTGTTAAGTTCTAACATGTGGGCACAGACTGTATGTGGTTTTGCTTGTCATATCTCCTGTACCTAGTACAGTGCCTTTTTTTGTTTGTTTGTTTGTTTGTTTGTTTTTAATCAATAAATGAAGTGTTGTGAAGTGCTCTCCATTCCAGCCCATCTATTGAACCATCTAGCCAGGCACTTTCCAGAATCACTGTGCTGATCACGCTCCTTGCCCACTGGGCAGCCTACCAGGGCTCCTCTTCATCTGCACCTGCGAAAAAGGCCCAGCCTCTTCATTCCAGTACTCCAGGCCCTTCACCATATGACCCAGTCTCGTTGGCACTTGGTACTGTTACTGTGCTATAGTCCAGCCTGCCTTATGTAAGGGTTCTTTTTGATATTTTCCCCCAAACTCATTCCTCTCCTTCATCTCAGAAAATTCACTCACCCTCCCAGCCCAGAAACCTAGGATTGTTCTAGTGTGGCCTTTGTTTCTCCACATATTTTCCCACTTCCATTTGCTCTACTTCAAAAGTAGACCCACATCTGCTCTTATTTGCACTAACACCTTAGTCCAAGACTCTATCGTCTGTGGCCTGCATCATTGTGGTAGCCTCCCGATCAGTGACCCTGCTTTTGCTCTTTCTCCCACACTCTTCTTCATGGAGTAGCCAAAGTGCTTGTCTTATATGGAAATTAGATCATGTCTTTCCTGGACTTACGTTCCTCCAGAGGCTTCCCATAACTCTTTTTTTTTTTAATTTTGTTTTAATGTTTTATTTATTTCTAGGAGAGAGAGAGAGAGACATCGTGAGCAGGGAAGGGTCAGAGAGAGAGGGAGACACAGACTCTGAAACAGGCTCCAGTCCCTGAGCTGGCAGTCAGCACAGAGCCCGACGTGGGGCTCGAACCCATGAACCGTGAGATCATGACCTAAGCGAAAGTCGGACGCTTAACCGACTAAGCCACCCAGGCACCCCTTCCCATAACTCTTAAAATAAAATCTAAACACAGCCTTATGAACTTCATGGCCCCACGTGACCAACACCTTGCCTGCATCTCCAGCCTCACTGCCTGCCCTTCTGTCTCCCTCCGTTCACTCCAGCCATGCTGTCCTGGTCTCCACCCATGAAACTGAGTTCATTCCCACCTCTGGATTTTTGGATTAGCCCTTACCTCTGTCTGGAATGCTCTTCCCTTGGCTCTTCACTGGCTGGCTCCTCCTTGCCGTCCAGGTTTCCGTTCAGATATCACCTTGTGGGGGAAGGGACACTCCTGGACATCACATCTAAAGTAGCACTGGCCCCACATTCTAGTCACCTGTCATCTTACAGTGTTGTTTTCACTACTACTTGTCACTGTTTGAATGTCCTCTTTAAGGTTTACATCTATACTGCAGGATTGTCCTTTTCTTATTCAGTCCTGTATCCCCAGTGACTAGAACAGTGTCTGGCATGAACTTACTAAATATTATGAGGCATCATCATCGTCATCCTATATTGAATGCTAACTATGTGCCTGATGTTGCACTAAGTACAGTGTGTTGTTTCATTGTCACTACATATTTTGAGATAGATATTTCTGCTCATTTATAATGAGCGGAGGCTGAAAAGAGGCTAAATGACTACCAAAAAGATAAATGGAGACGTCAGGATTTAAACGCAGGTGGACATCTTTTAACTACTCAACACTTAGTAGTCTTGTCTTTAACCTTTGTAAACCGCCTCCCTTTCACCCAGTCCAAAAAAAAAAAAAGGGTAGAATTGAAGTGCAAACTCTCAGAAAGGAAGAAGTCCTCCAATGTGGGCTGAAGGTCAAGGGGTATTTGCTGGGAGAGAAAATAGGTGACACCCAGACAGCAAGCTGGGGTCACGTGATGCGTGCTCATTTCATTCCATGAAAAGCTTAACCCTGTTGCATTCCCACCCCTGGCCGGGCTCTGTTCTGGGTGCTGAGGATTCAATTTCTTTGAAATCCTCAAAGCCCTAACCCCCTTCGCCCAGCGAAGTGTTCCTAGAACGTTCCGATGGATGTCTGTGCTGTTTAGAAGCGAGAGTATCCAAGTCCTCTCTCAGGCACTGAGATCCGCCAAGGCCAACCTCCAGGGCTGTGCCTCTGAGGACCTGGGGCAGGCCCAGGTGTGTTTATTTTGGAGCAGACTGGATAAAAGGGAGATCAGGATCTTCCAAAGACTGAAAAACAATTCCTTTCCAAAACCTCAACTACCTGAGGCAGACAGAGGTGGGTGGGGAAGTTCCTGTCATTGTTTCAGCTTTAGCCAAAGGGGAGCACTTGGATTCCAATCCCTTTTTAGAGCACAAAGTACTTTTCCTGAGTTCATGGGAGCGCTGTGGTTGACCCGTTAGAGGTGAGGCAGAGCTTGGTAATGGAAGGCCCATCCACTGGAAAATATCACTTCCCCTAGGGACACATCATCCCCCACCCCCACCCCCGCACCCTGGCTCAGCTCCAAGCTCCAGTATTGCTTACTGAGAAGGAATACCAATGGTCACCTAATTGTTGTGGAATTAATTCTCTTTGATTCCAACTAGAGCCAGTCCTGAGATTTAAATTGCAGTTGGATGCTATGGATGAGAGGTTGATTTGCAGCTTTCCGCAGAACCAACAGAAAAAGAACCGCAGACGTGGCATTTTGGCCACACTTCTTTTCCATTATGGGATCATATAGAAAGTACACCGATATATTCTATTCCCATAAATGATTCAGGACAACAACAACAAAAGAGCTAGTCTCTTAATGGGGCTCCCAGACCACATGTGAAGAAAGCGTCTAGATTCTGTTGAATTCTGGTGACAGGGGAATCTATGATGACAAAAAGGAAGGTTTAAATTCCGGAAGGCATCAGACTGGGGATGTTTCTCTGCAGAATAAGAGTGCAGCAGCCTTTTCTCCCTCTTACAGAGAGGAGCGTGTCTCAAATTAAGGATCCTCCAATCCACTTTTCAATTTGCTGCCAGTGAACTCCCCAGCAGGCAAGCCTGACCCTGCAGCCCCTTGCATAAAACCCTCGCCTCCCACTGCCTGTGCTGCTCACACTCCACATGCCAATCACAAGACATTGTCCCCCGTCACTCAGCACACTGCGCTTAGCCACCTCTGGCCCTTGACACAGGGGTTCCCTCCGCCTCCATTGATCTGTGTCGAGACAAGGTGAGGTCCCTCAGCCCTGTGCTCTCCTGGTGCCAAGTACTGCCCCACCCTCCCACTTTGTTGTAATTGCTTGTGTAACTGTGCTCTCTCTGTAGACACCGTGGGCGCAGGGGCCACGTCTATCTTGTTTGCCTCTGACTCCCTATGACAGTTCCTGGCACAAAGTAGTGAGAGCAAACAGACTCATCGAGTTAGATTTTACCAATTCGAATGACCTGTGTGCTGCCTTTATTTTTTTTTTAAGTTTATGTATTTATTTTGAGAGAGAGAAAGTTCACGCGAGTGAGGGAGTGGCAGAGAGAGGGGAAGGGAGAGAATCCCAAGCAGGCTCCCTGCCATCAGCACAGAGTCTGACACAGGGCTGGATCCCACAAACCTGTGAGATCATGACCTGAGCCGAAATCAAAAGTCAGACACTTTACCCACTGAGCCACCCAGGCGTCCCTGTAGGCTGTCTTTAAAGCCTGGAACATACTAAGAAATGAAGGCCAAAGAATAACAGGGCAGGAATGTGAGAGAGCCACCTAAAAGGAGTGGAAATCTTTCGCCCCTCCTTCCTTTCTCTTCAGCTACTTAACTTATGAGCAAAATCCATGGATTTTTTTGCTGACCACAATCACAGAAGAGACTATAAAATTCAGCTTTCCATCTGGTTCTTCATGGTCCAAGAAAACGCAGCAATTCCAAACTCCAGAGAGACAGGCACTCAAATCATGAAAGCTTAAACCAGCCTGTTACAGACTTCGCTGAAGAGTAGCCTGAATTTGACTCTGGAAGAAAAGGAAAGCAAGCATCATTTACTATGTAAGGATGGATTCCCTGGGGGCCCTCACAGGGGTTGAGTGTGATGTTTCCCCATTGTGACATTCCCCTCTGGCCTTCAAAGCCAATGCTCAACCCAACAGCTGGCCCTGCTTTCCTCTCTCTACTCACGCCAATGGCCTCTTTATCATGAGGCCAACCGTCAGTTAGCACTTCGCAGACTGGGCCGAAAGTGGAAGCTGGCCTTCCAGTGGGGACGCTTTAACATCTGTCCTCATCCACTGTCCAACACTGGCTGCTACTTTAATGCAAAGATGATGCTTTTGCTTTTTCATGGTTTATGTTAGAACCAGAGTTAGCTGAGAATTGCTGATGAGGGAGAAAATGAGAACCGACACCTTGTTTATCTAAAAGCATCATGGGGGACGCCTAGGCATGCTCCAGAGTCTGCCTGATATCATTCCGCCCCCCAGTGGCACCCCTCTGCTCCTGGCAGGAAGGAAATAGGGTGAAGGGTCAGGAAAGCCATCATTGGGCTGGTCTCCTGGTATTGGAGGGAGGGGAGGAGGGGGTTTTCAGAACCATGCTGGACATGCCAGCTCTGGAGAGATGACAGCCAGTTTGAAGGCTTCAGGCAGTTTGGATAAGCATCTAGACTCTGGATACATTTCTGAGCCTGCTCTGTGATCCCTTTGAAGTTCATCCAACTTGAATAAACCCTCCAGAAAGCTGGGACCAGTAAAAAGGCTTTCTTTAGAAGTCCCTCTGGACGTGCCCTGTTGCTTTCTCACAGGGCAGCCAGCCCATCAGGACAAGAGACGTGAAAAGGACAGAAGGAAGAGGCTCCAGATGGAATGTTTCCATAATATTCAACTTGCTCCCTTTTTTTTTCTTTTTGGTCTTCTTTTCTTCCTGGCCTTTTTATATGTGGAGAAGGAGATGGCAGATAGATCACCGAATTCCCAGTGGACTTTGAAGACCCTGAGCTTAGATCTGATCATGGCTCGCCCATGACCCCTTTGCCCTTTCTGCTGATGCAACCTGTTTCTGAAGGCCTCGCTCAGCTAAGACAGGTGGGAAAAGCACCACACACGTTAGATGAACGAGGTTTAACAAAAGATGCTGTTTGTAGTCCAGGAGAGCTGGGGACAGGGGTGTGCGTTGGTCCAGGCAGAAGGTTCCAGTTCAGTTCCCGGAGAAGCAGTCCCTGGCTGCCTAGGCCGGGAGCTGAAGCTTATCTTTCCTGTCTGCACAGACTTTCTAATGACGGAATTACTGGAGCAGCAAGGGAGACCACGCACTCGCAGAAGCTTCTAGGCACGGGAACACACCTCCGCGCCGGGTGCCATTTCCCCAGGTGCAACCTGGATTGGCTCTGGGCCACGCTCAAGAGGTAAAGAGGATGGGCAGAGGGTAAGGTGGGGTACTGGACGCTGGTTTCTCTCAGGAAGCAAGCAGGGAGAGGCCTTTATGAGTCGTAAGTGGGGGCTTCAAACCTGCTTTTGGTTCATTCCTGAGGACAGGCTGAGTGATGCCCCTTCTCTGACTTTAAGAGGCGTCCCATGAAGGGCAGGACCCGAAGTCCACAAAGGACCGACGCCTGACTCGGAAGCATCTAGAGAGGAGAGCTGAGCAGGGCGTACCCTGTATAGCAGCACCCCACACAACTCCACTGGTTGGCCGCAGACACATGGGAAATGCCCTTTCCTGACCCCTGGGACCACGTGACAGAAGGGGGACGACAGAGAGGCAGTGGCAGCACCAGAGAAACCCCACTGGGAGTGGGGTTGTGGGTAGTTTTATTTATTGATTGATAAAAAAATATTAATAGCAATTAAGAAAAACAGAACATTCACAACCCATCACAGAGTCCTATATGTTTCGGCTAAATTCCCCATGGAGTCCTTCATCTGACAGAGGCTGTGATTTCAGCCGAAAGGCCCCTTCATGTTTTTCATGGGCGGGTACTGCTGCTCCATGGGCATGGCCCCAAAGCAGTCGGAGGGGTTACAGTGGCCAGCCTTGCCCGGCTGGCCCATGGGACCTGGAGGGCCAGGGATGCCCGGAATGCCTTGCTGGCCCATCGGTCCAGTGGCGCCCATCTTGCCATACCCCGGAGGGCCTTGAGGACCTGGGGAGGGAAGAACCAGAAGGGGAAGGTCAGGAGACCAGATGATGAGAAATGAAGAAATCACGGTCACAGTAAATAACACCTTATGTTTGATAAATATTTGTCAGAAACTGTATCTTGTAGATGAGGACGCAGGCTCAGAGAGATTCACGCTCAGAGTTCCAGTGTTCAGTGACGCTGGGTCTCAGAGCCAGGCCGTCAGGCTTTGGTCACTTCTCTTTTAAGCTGTGCAGTCTGACTTAGTGACCTTGTCAAGGTTAGACAGCCAGTGCGGCGCCGAGCGGGACGTGAACTCTCATTCGCCGGCCCCACCATATCTGGCTGTCTTCCTCTGTGTCCTGCTAGCCCAGTTTAGGACTTGAGGACAGACCCTGGGCCTTCCGCTCCCCACTTTGCACACACTGGCATTGCTGTGAATGTTGGGTGATAGGCCTGTAGTTATTTGAGGTTCCACGCAACTGTATTGTGTTGCAGAAGGAGCATAAGGGAACATAAGGAAAGCATATCAGCTGCTTGAGATTCATGCTCTCAGAAATGGCTCTTCGTACCTGGGGGGCCGGGGAGACCATTTTCTCCTGCCATGCCAATACCAATGTCCCCCTTTTCACCTTTGGTACCGGGCAATCCTGGGACAAAAGAAATAAAATGAGTCCTATTCCTGAGCAGAGAAACAACACACCCAGTCAGATTACTTGAAACCCAAGCATCCGTACAAATAAATTCACGACAGACCTCGTGCAATGCCCGTGTCTGTCCCATAGAGTCACACGTGCACCTCGGGAACTCGAGGGCAGAGCTACCTCTCATTCCTGGCACGCCCTGGCGTCCTTCTCTGCCAATCTGACCAGGAAGCCCCGGTGATCCTGGAGCGCCTGGCCGGCCCGGAGCCCCGTCCTTCCCTGGGGGCCCTGGTCGTCCCGGGGCTGCGGCCATCTCCATGGGGAACTGCATCCTGGAGGTGTAATAAGCCATCCTCTCTGCAAGAAAGGACAGGGACAGGTCCCAGGGTGTCCCAGGGACTCAGCCTGATGCAGACAGGCCACCAGCATGGAGTCCAAAACAGCCTTTCTTCAAAGGGGAGTCAGAGCAAGGAACACGCCTCCCATGCCCTCGCCTCCACCCTCCTTTGCACGGTGGCCTTTCGGCAGCACAGACCTGACTAGGGCCTCCCTCTTCTCCAACACCCTCAATAGTCTACCAGTGGCTTCACGAGAAAGTCCAGACTCCTTGCTTGGCATTCAAGGTCTGCATTCCCAAGGATGGCTAGGCCATCAGGACAGGGGCCACGTTCTCCCCAGGCCCTAGCACGGTGATGCCGGAGGGACAAGTGAACAGGGAAAAAGCTTGGAAGTGAAACCACACCAGCTATCTTGAGGCTGCTGCTCGCCCCTCTATTTAGAGCTCACTTCACGCAGACTCGTTTGATTTCAACTTTCTTGTCTGTCTCCTTTGCTGCAGTGGGAGCTCAGGGAGGGCAGGGGGGTTCATTGTATCTCCGAGCGGAGCAGGTGATGAGGGAGGTCTGAAGTCTGATGGAACATATGCCTGTAAGTGGGCGAGGAGGGGCCTGGAGAGGAGGATTGGGCTCTAAAGGAAAAGGAGGCCAGGGCAGGGCAGAGAAACCGCGGGGAAGAGCCGGCAGCGCCCACTGCCGCCCAGCCGGCTGCCAATTACCATCAAACATTTTAATGATCTCTTGTCTGATGAACCTCTTGATTTCATCATAATTCACCATGTCTCCCTGAGAGGAAAAAAAAAAAAAAAAACCTCCCTCAATTATACTTCCAAGCCTGGCTCTCCCCCTAGAATAGACTTTGTGGGCATAAAGGACAAGGAGGGGAACAAAGCTTCTAGGAGCGTCCCACAGGTACTTAATCCAAGGTCCTAACCCGCCCCCGCCTCCCCTGCCTGAAATGGTGCACAGCGTTTTGTGGATCAGTGCACTTTTCTGGGGAGAGTGTCCCCACGCCTCCCCGCTCTCCCAGGCAGGGTTAAGAACCACCTATGTGGCTGTCATGCTCTTTCCCTCGGGGGCTTCTGCAGCGCTCACTGCTCTACCCTGGACGCCCGCTCTGTGGGACGGTGCCCACGGCAGCCAGCCTCTCCCCTTACCATGGAGCCGGGCACCCCGGGCAGTCCAGGGCTTCCCGCAGGCCCCGGAGATCCAGGGTGGCCTCTCTCTCCCTCGGGACCCGGCGGCCCAACAGGCCCCATGGAGCCACTCTTGCCGGGCCCACCGGGCATGCCAGCGCGTCCCTTCTCTCCGGCCTGGCCTTTCTGTCCTGAAGGTCCCGGGTCACCCTACAAGGACGGGAAGTCACATCCAGCATTGCCAAGATCTAATCAAGTCCACCTCATTATGTCTCAGCAATCAGCCTCTCTCTCTCTCTCTCTCTCTCCCTCCCCATCCCCCCACCTGGCCCCTGGCATCTTCTGACTGTGGTCACAGCTTCCTACCAGGCTGCCTGGCCTCACACTCCCCACAGTGGTCCTGGTCCTTCAGAAAGGCAGTTCCTCATGCTGTTACTCCCTGCTTAGAAATCCTGACGGCTCCCAGCTGCTCTCAGGGTAAAGACCTGACTCCTTGGCCAGGCATTCAAGGTCATTCATGATGTGGTTCCCATCACCTCTTTTCCAGGTTCATCGTCCTGCCCTTGAACCTACAGCCGTGCCTCCCTGCTTAGAAGTCTCTGCTTCGCCCATGCTGTCTTAGCCCTCCCTGCGCTGAGTGCCCTCTCCCTCCTTCTACCCGGGACACTACTCCTGCTCAGCTGAAATGCTCCCGTCCTATGCAGAGCCTCCCGGACTCCCCGGGCTGAGTTGGGTGCTATGTCTAATCTTCGGTAAAGCTGGCCACGCCTTAGTGGGAGTGTGACCGGACTGAGTGAGTGGCTCCTGTTCAGAGACCTCTGTTTAACCAAGGCTGGGCCAGAGGACCTGGAACGTGAGACCAAGCAGATGCCGGTGGCATGAATGAATCAAGCAACCAGTCAATGAGTAAATGAACTGGAGATTTCCATCCTCCCAATCAGAGCTGAGAAATAGGCCCCCACAAGAAATTTTCAGAGATGAGGTTGCTGCCAGTCCTGAGATCTGCCCACCGGCCTTCCTGCGTCTCCTCTCCATGGCTAAAGCCATTGCCTGGAGCTGGCCTTAATCACTCATGAGTTTTGCTTCACAAAACCAGCCAGTGCCGCTCACCTTTGGACCAGGGGGCCCATAGAGTCCCTGTTTTCCGGGGGGTCCCTAGAGAAAAGCGAAAGTCAGGGGTCAAGTCCGGGCGGCATCTCCGAGCCGTCCTGGGGAGGCAGGTGTCGTGAAAGGAACACCTTTCACACCCGAGGGGCCCGGGGCTGTGTCCAGCTGGGCTTTGGGCAAGAAAGGGTGACCGCCTCCCTTCTGGTAGCTGACAGAAGGGAGAATGATGTCCCCTAGGGCATGGCCCTGTGTGATCGTGTTGGTTGGGTCCCTTGTCACAGACAAAAAGAGGTGAGAAGTCAGAAGGGAAGGGCCAGTGCGTGGCATACTGGAGGGCCTGGCAAGCGCTGGTGCCCAGGAAGTGTTTGGAGTCCCACCGTCATCGGCTCTCTTTGCCCAGGTACACAGTGAAGGCACAGTGAGGAATAAATGTCACTCATCCATTCCCACTCCCTCTCCGCAATGTAGCAGGGCTCCCAGTTCCCTGCATATCTGCCTGGAGAGGGTCTATGCATTCAGGGCATGCGTACTGAGTGAAGGAAGGGGGGTGGGGGCAAGGCGAGGAGCAGGCAGCAGCACCCCAAAGGGAAGGAGAAACCCAACACAGTACCTCTTTGCCAGCTGCGCCATCCGCGCCAGGCTCACCCTGTGGAGTAGAGAGCAGCAGAAGGGCCATCAGCACCAACCCAGCATGGTGTCGCCTGCCTCCCCTTGCCCACCACGCAGGCCCAGCCCCTGTGCCACCAAGGATCCTCTAGCCCTCACCCTCAGGTGCCCTGGGCACAGGCCGTGGAGACTCAGAGCCCCTCCCCATGCTCCAGCCTGTCCTGGGGCCCCAGGCTGACAGCCGGGCCGCCTCCCTGACACACCATGCAAGGGAAAGGCAGACCGTGCCTGCCTTGCTCCTGGCTTGGTGTCCCAGCAGCTCGAGGATCCCTAGCTCTGAGTGTATATTACACGTTTGCCAGACAAAGGCGGTAGTTGTGAACCCCTGTCCTCCCGCCCCAGGATAGGACAGGCCGCACCCTGGGCCCAGGCTGCGTCCGGTAAGATGGTGGGGAAGAGGAATCTGTGATCACAAAGCAACTGGCAGATTCAACCAGGGACCCTGGAGGCTCCCGAGCCTACAGGCAGGGAGGGACAGAGGCTTGGAGGGACCCACCTGCCCCGGGGCCCAGGCAAGAATCAGAATGAGTGAGACCGGGCCCTCTTGGCGGATACGCCAACCATCACCCCTGCACAGGCTGGGGTCATCCACCCCTTTGAGGCCGTCAGCCCCAGGGTCATGGCCGCTTCTCCCAAAAGAAAATACCCTGTCCTGGGGGCTAGGTGACCTGGGTTCCTGCCTCAGTTTCCCCAGGGGACTTCATCCCTAAGACTGGCATTCCATCCACCTGATGTGGGCCACCTGTCTGGAACCTTTGAAAGAGGGCGGTATTGAAGAATGGCTAAGGACAACGCAAGTTCTGGAATCTGGCAGGCTCTTCCACTCACTAGCTATGTGACTGTAGGCCACCTATTGAACCTTGCTGCGCTTTGTTTTTCTCATCTGTAAAATGGGGACAATTAGACCTACTACACAGGATCGTGGTCCAGATTAAATCTCAAGATGTCAAGCACTTAGGTCACCATTTGGGACACTGACAGTGACCAATATGTCATAGTTCTTAGTACTAAACACTAGCTGAGACCAAGGACTGGTTTCCGAGTTGCCAAGAGGGCTGTGGTAACAGCACAGGATTTCTGGCTCCCGACTTGATTATAGATTTTCTGTGGCTGCCGGCAAGCTCGCCCAGGGAGGGGGCAGGGCAGGGGCAGAAGGGGCACCAGGTCTCCCCCGCCTGACACCTAGTGTGGTGCGTGGTCAGAGACAGCGGCCTGGGGTGCATTTGGCAGGCGCTGGCTCACAGAACCTTCCAGATGTGATGATCCTCAGGCACAAGTTCCACGCTGCCTCTTCCCTGCTAACCGCCTCTCCTCCCGTGGGGGACCCAGATGTGCGGGGCTGTGCAGTAAAGTGTGGGGTCTTACCGGGGGTCCAGGGTGTCCGGGGGTCCCAGGCTGGCCTGGAAGGCCTAGAAGGCCCCTTTCTCCAGGGGCTCCCCGGTCTCCTTTTAGGCCCTGGAGAGAAGAGAGGCGGATGGTGAGAGGGGACGGGAGAGACAGCAGTGAACCCCACAGAGCAGAAAGGCAGGCATGATTGTGTGCCAGGGACCCTCCCCCACCAGGCCCTGTGGGGCAGGATGGCACTGCCTGAACTTGAGACAGGGGCCTGTGGTGGCCTCCAGCCCTCTCAAAAGGCTTTTGCTACATGCCACTTGGGGGAGACCCAGGAGGCAGGAGAGGCTGAAGCCAGGGAAGGAGGGGGATAGGCTCAAATTGTTCTCACCACCTCCCTCTGTGGAAGAAGCCCCAGCCAGAGCCCTAGGAGGGAGGGACGAGGGGAGCATGTCACTCACCACTGCAGAGATCCCAGCGGGGCCTGGCTGGCCTGGAGGCCCTGGTGGCCCCTAAAGAAACATGAAGTCAGTGGGATGGAAAGAGTTTCCAGTAATAAGTCCCCCCAGGAGGCAGCGAGGGACCAATGGCAGGAACCGGCCCGAAACCTCAGCTGCTCCATCCTTTTCCCTAAACCTTCCTTCCTTTCTGGTCTTGCACTTGGGCTTCTCCCAAAAGATTTGTGTCAGAGCTGACACCTGGGAGGGTCCCTGAGCTCACAGGTGACCTTCACACCTGCTGTGCACTGAGTGGTCCATCTGGGGCTGTGCCAAAGGGATGATCTGGGAACCACCAGCCAGAGCCAAGGTCAGAGGGCAAAGGCCTGAAGCTGAACTCTGTGGGCCTGGGGTCTTCTGAGGCCCTCCTAGTTCCTCCTGTTCTGCGGGAGAAGCAGGGGCTCAAGTCCAACCCCAGAGACCCGACAGATAAGCCTGGCCTCAGGCCTTGGGTCTCCTGCTCTGCTGTCCCTGGAGAGCAATGGCTCAACACACAGGGTGCTATCACACTGCTGGGCTGGGGAGGGACTGGAAGGCCATCCTCATCTCTGAGTCACGGCTCAAGTGGCAGCCCCCTGGCCAGAGCTGCACCCAGGGCACACAGGTCTCTCTCCCAGCTTGCCCCTCCATGCTCCCAGATAGAAAGTTCTGGAGGCATAGACTCTGTTCAGCTCATCACAAGTCTTCTGGGGCAGGAATGCCCAGCACTGGGACTGGCACGAGGCAGGGGCTAAAGCTGGGCAGACAGAGGTGAGAGGCGGAAACTTGTGGCCCCTCTCCACAGCCCCCAATGGGTCTGCAATGGGATCACAATCAGAGTTCGCAGCTCCTTTCATCTGTAGTGTGAGCAGGGACTAGGCTAGACCTGGGGTCCCCGATCCGGGGCCGCCAGACCCCTTGAGATCCACACACGCGCTGATGAGGACCCGAGAGTTCCTCTTTTTGATCATGAACTATTTTTATCATTTCCAGAAGCCTCCTGGAAACTGTACATCTGCCACAACGGGGCTGCAATCAAACGCCAGAGTGTTTCCTTTGCTCAGGAACCCCATCAGCTCCGGCCGTCATACTGATCAAAGGCGCCCAATGGCAGCCGTCTATGTTACCGAGGAGTAAATTCAGATGGGAAACTCATTATTGCTTAATAACTGTCCTCTCCAAGTCGTCTTACCTTTGTAAGTGCACCACCCACGCACCCAGCCGCCCACCAACGCAGGAGTCAGTCATCCCCAGCTCCTCTCCCTGCACTGCTCCCTGCCCCTCCCCCCTCCAGGTCATCAGCAAGTACTCCAAACACAGCCCATCTGCCTGCCACCTTCCAGGGATACCTTGCTTCCATCCGTGCCCCTCCCCTTCTGACCACACTCCCAAGGTCCGAGGTCGTCACTAGGTCCCCCAGAAGCATAGTTTTCTGGCTCCCACTCACGCCTTTCTCATTCTGGCCATACTGACCTTGGGGCTCCTGGACACACTGGGCCCCTCCCTGCCTCAGGGTCCTTGCGTCAGCTGCCCCCTCCCCTCCTTCCCGCCTGGACATTCTCCCCCCAGACTGCTCGACAGATGGCTCCTTCTTGTCATTCAGGCCTTGGCTCAAATGCCACTTCTGCAGTAAAGGTCCCTCTAAAGGCGCCTCCTAGGCCCTCCTGGTGACATCACATGGCTGCCTGAAGCTTTCGCATTAATTTGTTTGTTTGTTGTGCCTGCGTGGAAGCTCTGGGATCGGGGGACCTTGTCTGTGTCACTCAGTGCCACAGCCCAGAGCTTGGAACAGTGCCTGGCATGGAGCAGGTGCTCAATTACTGTTTGTTGAATAACTGAATGATCTTTGTCTGATAAGTAAACCTGAATGTGCCCAGAAAATAAGAAAAAGGCAGGAAGCCTGGGGACCACTGGATCAGGGAGCCCAAAGCCCCTTACTGCTCTGTGGCTGTCCCTGTGGCCAGTTCTTTCCGGTCATCACTGGCCTGCCCACCCCAGCCCCAACAGAACCTTAACTCTCATAGAGGCAGAGGAAGAAACGGTTTAACTCACAATATGACCAGGGGGGCCGGGTCTTCCCTGGGGTCCCATGGCACCAGGCTCACCCTATAGGAGCCAGGAAAAAAAAAAAAAGCAGCAATACAGAAGCAGACTCACACACATGGACGGGGTTGCTAGTGGGGAGAAGGCTGAGCAGACCAGGTAGGACACCAATAGTCAGAGGAGCTGAGCTGAGTCCATGCTTTCTGGGGCCCGAGGAGCCAGCTCTGCCCACGAGTATTGTTGGAGACAGAAATCAGAGCGCCTCCCTCCCCCCACCCCCCTCGCCCAGCCTGAGAGGGCCAGCCTTGCTGTTTCGGTGAGTGATCCAACAGCCTGCAGGGAGGACAACCAGGAGGAGGAGGAAGGAGGAGGTGAGGAAGGAAGAAGGTGAAGATGTGTAATTTTGGGCGAACCCTCCCCTAGAAGGCCCAGGAGAGAAGGCAGCCACTTGGCCAGTGAGTCTGGGACTCAGCAGAGCCCAAAGGCTGTCTGAAGGTCACAGGTGTAGACCTTGGCCCTTACCTCTGCTCCCGGCCGGCCACTGCTGCCTGGGGGCCCTGGTTTCCCACAGTCACCCTGCAAGAGAGAGGGCCAACTGGAGCTTGACAGACCTCTACTTGGCTCCTCCAACCCCAAGGTGACCCCACACCCAAGGAGTCCTGCCCGCTGCCCAGACTCTGGCCAGAAGCCACCTGCTGCCCTCGGGCTGGTGGATGGTGGAGCCTGACCCACTCTGCTAGCCCCCAAGGGTCTCAGGAGGCTTGGCCGCTGGGGAGGCTTGGCCGCTGGGGTGGCGTCTCAGCCAAGCCTCAGGTCGCCTGTCTGCCAGTGCCAGGCTGCCACGTGTGCCTGGGGTCAGGCCTTGGGGACAGCTGAGAAAACCCGTTTGGCAGAAGTCACCGGGCCCTTCCTTACCTTTGGTCCCGGGAGGCCAGGGTGCCCCGTTTTGCCCTTGAAGCCCTGCGAGGAAAAGTGGGAAGTTGCCACGGCCCTTGCCTCCTCCCTCAGGTTGAAGAAATCAGACCCGTCCCAAGTCATAACCCGGTCCTCAGAGGATCTGGATTCGGGCTGCCCTGCCCACCAAGGCAGAGCCTACACCTGTCAGCTTTGGGACCTCCCAGCCCCCGGCTCCTTCCTGCAGCTCAACTTACCGGGGGTCCCATGAGTCCAGGAGGGCCAGCGGGGCCAGGGTCCCCCTGTGGAAGAGACCAGGGCCATTGAGACAGGGTACCCACTCATGCCCAGCTGCCTTCCCGCTCTGCAGCCCCTCCCCTCAGCTCTCCCAGGAAGGAGGGAAGAATCCAAGCCGGGCTTGGCCTCCCTGAGTGAATCCCAGCCCTCTCTGATCTCCGATCTTCCTTCTTTTGCATATAGAAGGGGGCTGCCTTTGATGCCCTGCCCTTTGCCATGCATCGCTTCTGTATTCCCCAGCAAAACCAGACCCAGGGATCCAGGGCTGCCCAGGTCCTGCCAGGCCAGCAGTCTGTTTTCCTGACACCCAGCCTAGTAAGTATCTTTAGTATCCTGAATTTCTGGATATAAATCCACCCACTGCCTGCCTTTGGGGGAGACCCAGTTCATCCAACCTGGTTAAGGCTACCGGAAAACTGAGGAACCAAGGGATTCTAGTGCCCTCAGAGAAGTGGGGTGTGGTGAGGAGCAGGTGGAGGGAAGGCAGGGGTGTGGCGAGGGGGATTCAGTTTCCTTCATCGGGGTTCCATTGACTTTGGCTCTTGGAGGAGGAAAAAGAAGGGGAGGGGCGCCGCCATCATCTCACCCTCAAGCCGGGCTTGCCGTCCTTCCCATCCAGACCATCCAGGCCAGCAGGGCCCTAGAAACAGGGGAAAGGGATGTCCACATGCCTGTGCTGGAGCCATAGGAGGTGAGACCCTGACCCAGCCCCTCCACCCTTTCCACTGCTCACCCAGCTCCCACCCCGCCTAAACACGCACACACGCATGTGTGCATACACGTGCCTGCACGCAGGAACACCACACACACCTGGCAGGCTAAGAGGACACACACTCACCTGGATTCCAGGTGACCCTGGTGGCCCAGGGGGACCGGGCATGCCTGGTGGGCCTCGAATGCCTTCACTGCCCTGGAAAGGAGCCGACCCCCGCAACAAAGTCAGCAAGGCCTTGCCCACCACCCCCCCCCGCACTCCCCCGCCCCCACCCCCCGTCCCTGGGGAATGAGGCCCTAGGCTCTGGGTTCTGATGGTTACCAGAAGTCAGGACAGCTGGTTTCCGGCCCCAGTTCTGCTCTGGCCTGACTGGACGCCTTCCACACCACCCGCCCCCGCCCCCCCCCCCCAGGACCTGTCTTTGTCTGCAAACCATCCCTCTCTCTGCACTGTTATGTGAGGAAGGAACAGAGCCTATTCAGTCTAGCACCTTCTTCAGGGCTGACCCAGGGACCGGCACCATGGGGGTGCAGTAACATGTGCCGACTGAAGGCATTCGTTCAGTTTGCATCGGTCTGAACAAAGTGCCAAGTGTGGTCACATGCCTGGGCTGGCTGGGATGACAGGGAGCCCGTGTGACGGGAGGGGTTGGGAGGCGAGGCTGGAGAAAGGTCGAGCCTGGCTGGGGGTTTGCCCGCAACACTGTGCTAGGGTCTATCCGACAGACCGGTGCTTTTCACACTGTACTCCTCAGAGCCCTGGGGGTTCCTCAGAGATGGGGGCACAGAGTGGAAGCCTGGGGGGGGGGGTGGGACGCAAGACCCTTGCTCCTGCCTCAGCCAGAGCGGCTCCAGTCATATCTGTTTTATACACTGAGAGTTTGCGTGAACTTCTGTGTGATGAAAGGGCTCAGGGACTTCAAACTAAAGTCTGGGAACCACTGCTACGGGCACTAGGGAGCCACTGATGGTTCGAAGCAGGGGAGTGATTGAGCACCAAGGTGTGAACTAGAATGTTCACTGGAGAAGGGAGGAGGCAAGCGGCTCGGAGGGCTGCTGGGTACCCCGGTGGAAAGGGGTAGCTGTCCTGGAGCAGAGGCCGTGGAGCTGGCCAAGGAGAGATGATCTAGCTAGAGACCCACCGACCCACCCACCGTGGGGGGTAGAGAGGAAAGCCCCCGATGGCATTGCAATGCCACCAGCTACCAGGAGGGGTCAGCACAGCCCCAGAAAATGTCAGTCCCACAGGGAGTTGGGACAGAGAACCACTGGCCAGAGGTTTGGGGTTCTCTGCCGTGACCAGCCTAAGCAGAGCAGGCAGTACTGGGGTACAGAGCCAGCACAGAGGGCTCTGGAATGGTCTCCCCCTGGGTCCTTCACAAAGAAGGAAGGGAGGTGGCACCCATCACTGCCCCAAACGTGACTGATAGGCGCTGGCTCTGGGGAGGCAGGGAGGCACCTGGGGGCTCTCCTGGGCTGGGAGGGAAGTCTCAGCTCTGTTGCTATTTTGCTTTGTGCCCCCAGGATGCCCCCAGCCTCTCTGAGCCTCTTTTCCTCACTGGGATCAGAGAAGTTAGACCAAGGTAGCCCTTTCATAAGTCCCTTGTAGCTCTGAGAACTGTGCTGTGTGTGTTTTTAGAGCAAAGAGTCTCCATCCAAGGTTGTAGGCTTCCTGCCTCTCCTTTTGGGTCATAAGCACCCCCACCCCAAGCTTAGAAGTCAATTTGGGGCCTCATTACACTACCCAACCATCACATCTGGGGAGCCCAGGGGGTGGGCTGAGACAGGGATGCCAGCCCCCAAACCACGGCAGAGCTAGTCTCCAAACTATCAGGTCAGACCCAGGGCAGCCAGTGTGGGGACCCCCCAGGCTGCTGCTCCTTCTGACCCTTGTCACCAGCTCATAGGTCATGCCTGCCCTCCCTGGGCCCTTGGGGACAATCCGAGCATGCTCCCTTCCTGCTGCTGTCTGACCCAAAAGGCCAATGGCTTCTGGCCGTGGGGGTCCCAGTCTGGATATGCCGTCCTCCTTCGCTCAGCTTCTCCCCCTCCCCCTTGAGTCACCGCCTCTCCCTACGGCCCCCTGCCTCATCCCCACCGGGCCAGGACTCTGGGAGCACAGAGGCCAGCAGGCATCCCGGGCCTGGCTGCCATCCCCGGCTGCTCAGTGGCAGTCGATGAGCCTGTCCGTGCTGGAGGTCTCTTTCCCCACCCTTGACGTAATGAGTCAGTTCTTGAATCTCCAAAGGCCTGGATGGGGTGGGGGGAGGCCTGCAAGGCTTAGATCTGTGGCTGTGGCCACCTGGGGGTCCTGCTCACCTTCTCCGCTTGCGGGCCAGGGGGCCCAGGCGCTCCAGCTTTGCCTGGGAATCCAGGAGGACCCTGTAGCAACAAAGGAGCAGGGGAGGATGAGAGCAGGGCTGGAGGGGGCGCTCCCCTTCCTCCTTCCACCAGGGTTTGCTCCACTGCGGTTAATGCGATGCGTTCGGACTTCCTAGAAACACCACCCGGGAGCCTTACTGCTGGCTGGCCGGCCGGGCTGGGGCCCACCCAGGAGGCCCTGCCCTCCAGGTCCTGGCTCCTGGAATCGGGCCTGGCCACCCAGGCCGTTCCTCCCGTGCCTCTTCCCTCCCCTCCCGAGGCCCCTCCTCGCCCAGCCTGGCCTGGTCAGGCCTAGGCCCTCCCAAATGGGACCACAGCAGACAGATGGGCTTTGTGTCTTCACTCACC